TACTCCATAAAACAAGCAAGTTGCTTTGCTTTTGAATGCCTCAGGGCCTGAACCCAAATGGCAGGTATCCAGAAACAGCATCTTGCAGAGGAGAAGTGTAGATACCTGCCAGAACTGTGCTTCTGCACCAAGAGCAGAAAAATAGTTGCCAACAGCCATCTTTCCCAGAATGCACCTTTTAGGTAGTAGCCTAAATGGTTCCATTAATATGTTCACTCAGTTTTCCAGAATCATAGAATTGGTTAGGTTGGAAAAGGCCTTTAAGATCATCAAGACCAGCTGTTAACCTAGCACTGCCAAGTCCACCACTAAACAATGTCCTTAAGCACCACATCTACACATCTTTTAAATACCTCCAAGGATGGGGACTCAACCATGTCCCTGGGCAGCCCATTCCAGTGCCTAACAACCCTTTCGGTGAAGAAATTTTTCCTAATGTCCAATCTAAACCTCCCCTGGCGCAACTTGAGGCCATTTCCTCTTGTCAGTGCAAGAGGACCTACATAGAGAGAATATTCTATCTTTTCTTTCCCTGAAGTGGGCTGCATGGTACCCTCCCTGTTATTTCTTCTGCTTAGACTGCCAAAATGATGATCCTTGCACTGACTGAAATCAGAATTCTTCACATAGTTAGAGGGCCCATGTTGGGAATCTACTTACTGCAACAGTCTTGTATCCTGTAGAAGGAATTCTCTGATTAATCCCCTTACTCCTCATCCCAAACCATATGATATAGAAAACTCAAGTTTTACCTGTACTGAGATATGGGCATCATCTCCTGGCAAAAACATTTTATTCCCCTTTTTTTTCCATTCAAGGTGTGGCATAGGATAGGCTGACACCTCACAGCCAAAAATGACATCATTGCCTGTGAAATTCTGCACATCCTGAGGTGGCATAGAAATAACAGGAGCTGCAAAGAACCGACATAATGATGCTTTAGAAGACAGTGGGCAGAAGACAACACAAACACAAAAGCATATAAAATTAATTTTTATATATATTCCTATATCCCATGATAAAACCGGTTTGCCTTTTGCAATCTCACACATTATGAAGAGCCACATGATTCCAAGCAGCTTTTAAAGTTTAGAACACCTTGTGTCTCATTAAAGGGAGAACAGGATTTTTAAAAACACTTACTTAAAGGACCCATCTGTCCTTCCCCTTGCACATGATCATGAAACTTAAACTGAAATTAAGTTTAATTTGCATCCTGTGAGCTATCATTGTGGACTAGACTCAAGGCTCACCAGTTTAGCAGCCTGTACTCAACTAGACCTTCAGAGGAAAGTACAAGAAATTCTGTAGCAGACAATCAGAGAGTAACTTGATTGTATATGGTAGTTCTTAATTTCTGTTATATCTTGCTTAGCTTAAAAGCCAAAATACTGAGATTGCTAGCTCGTCAAAATTTGTTTCCTGAGTACATCATCGCCTTGAACTTGCTAAAATCTTGCCTCTCTCTGTTACCCATGGAACTCATTGCAGCATGTTACAGAATAACAGTATTAATAAGTTTCACATTAATCCTCAATTGCAATCAATTTAATCTCATGTTCCTGTTATGAGCCAAGTAATAAATGTGATTGAAATATAGTTATTTTTATAAGATTTTATTTTATGTTTATTAAAATTACTAGATTTCCACTTACTTGTTTCCTATTGCTCTCTTACCCTCATCCCCCTCCACTTTTTACGTATTGCCTCTGAATTATCCTCTCCCACTTTTTCCCAAAGAAAAAGCTGACATTAACCACGAGAGGGAGCCAGTCCAGGAATTTGAAGACACAAAAAATAAACTATCACCTGATGCATTCATACGTGATTTAAATACATATCTTTCTGTAAGCATGTAAGATCATACTAAATGTTAACAGGAGATTATGGTATTTAGCAGCAGAGAGCAAAATAACATATTTACTGCTCTAACAGCTTTCCTGTTTTGGAGATCTGTGCTTTTTTTCCTGATTGATTTGTCCTCAGCAAGAAATATTTTTCCTTCTAGAATCTGTTTTCCAGTGTTTAAAAATGAATGCATTTTCTGGGCCATTAGATTTCTATTTTATTAATTCTTTTATTTTTGTACAGATCCCAGATGCTTGGAAATAGAAACTTACAGTAAATAATTATTATATTTTTACTTGCAGTAATGGAATCAGTATGTAGGTACAGCGTTTATGCTTCAGAATTTGAAATTGTAACAGCCTGTTCCAGGTTTTCAAGCAAAGTTTCTAATAAATTTGTCAGTTTTTCAGGATTGCTATCTGTGCAGAAAATATCAAATGCATGCTGATTAAAATTAATTGCAAACAAATTATACAGCAAAGTATCAATTTCCCCATTTACGAATGCCTCATTAAACTATCCTGGTACTCTTCAAAAGTAAGATTTTCAAACTAGGACACTTAAACCCTTAACTGCTTGTTCTTTCATCAGAACCGTACATTCAGAATCTATATTATTTCAGAAATCTTGTATTCAGATCAGCATTAACTGAATATCTTGGATGAGAATTTTTTTGCTTATGAAGTTATCACATAGGCTCTTATGAGCTATTTGAAATATTAGAACTCAGTGCAACCACAGGCCTTTTAATGATACATTCCACTGTAGTTAAGCTTAAAGCATATAAAAGAAGCCAAATGTCTACGTTGACACACAGGAGTTACTTTAAGTTATTCCTGTACAGAGACAGCATGACACCCTTATTTTAAATAGGCAGATGTTGAGCGGTTCGTACTTTTGTCCCAGTGCTAATACAGGTGTCCGACGGATACACGGACAACACTGAAGTACTGCCCAGAACCAAGTCCTGCCTGTGTGACTGTGCACAGCCACAGCTGGGCTCAGCTTCACCGCGCCATGTAAACGCATCCTTATGCCTTGAGGGCATAAGGGTCTGAATTACAAATCCACATTATAGCTGTTCATATACAAGACATTTGTCTAGCGCTGTCTACCATACACCAAAACGAATTCCACACTGGAAATACCCCTTCCTCTGTTAACTGTGAGGAGAATCCAGATGATGGCTCAGACAGAAATGCCTAAATATGGTCTGAGTCCCACCCAGCTGGGTGGACAGGGTTAGTTCAGGCTTTGCTGGACCAGGGCTGATTGGGACTGGCATCACATGAGATCAAACTCATAGCAAGTAGGAAGAACCATAGTTTTGATCTAACCAAACCGCCATTTCTGAATCTGAACACACAATAAATACTTGCACTATCTACTCAAGCTTGAAGTGCCTCCAGAAATAAAATAAGTGTCTCACAACACCATTTTTCTGTATTTTACAGAAGAAAATTGAAGTAATGATGTAGCATTTTAACAGAAATTTACAAACTTCCTTTTTGAGTGTTTCAGATCTTGTGTTCCACCAAATTGTCCCATGCATATCTCTGTGTGTACTTTTTTTGCATAACTGTGTCTTTAGAAACAGATCTTTACCTTTACGACAACCTGTCATTTTAATTCCTGGAATGGATAAATTTTTCTTGATAGCTATAGAAAGCATTCTGATGGCTCAGTGTCCAGAGGTGAATGTCATGAATTATCCTTGTGTGTTACAGAAACAGAAACCCGAAGCCAGGAAAAGTCAAAATACTGCTTCGCCTTTCACAATCAGCATTAACCTAATATCACTCCAGACTAATGAATTACATAATACAATTTTTTTCCCCTTAACTCATATTAATTTTTGCCAGTCTATGTCTAAATTGATGAAAATGGCAGAAAAATTGTGGATTGTTTATTTGGTTTTTTTACTCCAAAATTTACATTTAAAGTAAGTTATGTGACACAGCTAAATATAAAGAGAATCACTGCTAGATTGTTCTCTTACTTCGTTAAATCATCAGCAAGAGAGGCTTGAATGTGAATGGGGATGGATTAAGTGTGGAGAATCTGTATATAATCAATGTACTTAAGTAACCTTGGTAAATTATTAGATAAACTGATCAAAACTAGCTTTCAGGAAAAGAAGGGCTTTTTCAGTGTTTCTTTAGGGAGCTAGGCCTTTTTCTTCCCCTTTTTCTGGTGATAGACGAAAGATAAAAGGCTATACTCTTCTGATGAAAGGAGTTTATTGTTATTTATTTATTCATTGGTTGCTGTATACAATTAATCCATTTGGCATCAATAGGAAACAGCAGATGCTTTGAAGGAGAAATAACAAAACAAAGTACTTTGAGTTGAGTGAAGGTTGTATTTATAGCTCGGTACCAGAACCCCACAGTGTTCAGTGTTTGTTTCTCATGCAAATGGGACTCAGCAGAAAGCGAGTGCTGCAGCGAGGTTGCTACTCTTAGAGCCAGGCTCCCTGTTGCCTTTTGTCATCAGCTGCAGCCATGAAAAACCATTTGAAATCATGACACACTTTCACAGGCGTACTGTGCTGCTTAAGATAGCTGTCATGGCAAAGAGGGGGCTTACTGGTGGGCTCACGGGGGACTGAGGCATGGTGCCCCCGGTGGTAGCATCTCCGTGCCCTGCTGCTTGCTGAAAGGCCCAGGCTCCTTCCAGGATCTAAAACACAAACCCAGCACGGTCATTTGCTGCTCAGAGAGGTTGAGAAGAGGGGTGCTTGTGCTCCCCCTCCCCAGCGAGCCCAGCACCCACCTCAGGCTCAAATGTTCTGCTGCAGCTGGGCTCATATGCCAGCTGGGCGCTTGCAAGAGTCAAGGAGACGGGCCCCCATTTTTCCTAACTGAACTCTGCACAGCACTGACATGGCTATGAACTTTCCTCCAGGCTTCTGTGCAATTCATTAAGCGGAGCAATCCTAGGAAATTTCTCTGCATTCCTGAAAAGAGGGTCCAGCCTTTCTGGGGACCCAGGGAAGCAGTGGGAAAGCATTAGGGGTGATGGCTGCATGCAGAGCAATTGAGCTCATTCCTCCTGCTTGATGAGTGATGTTGTGCACCTCAGGGGTGACTGCATGGCCTGGTGGATGAGAACACCAGCAATTAAAAGTGATAGTGCTTCTAAATTAAAGCTTTTTGTACGTGGCCAGTTCTGTTTAACTAATTAAGGCAGACCATTGCTTTAAGCTACCTCTGCTGCAAAGTTATCAGTTGCTACTTGAGTGGCACATCTAACTGAAATCTTCCTGAAGGGGTTATGCCGCAAGAACTAGCACTATTTTAATCCCAAATAAGAACACCTACCCGAGGGCTAACAGGCTTTCAGTCATACTGTGGACTGGTAGGTATTGAGTTTTCTGCATACCTCTTTACTGACAAGCCTCATTTCCGAGCTTAATACCCTAATGGCAAATAAGGGATTCTTTAATGGGTGTTTCTCTTGCAACTACAGAAAGAGGAAAGAAGTCTAGTATTAGCTGTTAATCACTTTTCCTTTTAAGTATTCAATATCAAGTGTTTATTCAATATAAAAGCACAGCATATGGTCTAAATTGGAGGCAACAGATTGCTAGCAAGGATGGGTAAAACGTGCCCAATTACTCTCATATATGGACCTTTGCCAGAGGTGCAATTTCAGATTACCAGAACTGTGACCCATTTGTAACCCAGAGACCTCTTCTACTTAGTTCATTTGAGAAAGTATTTCCTTAGCTTCTAAAAAAATAGTAATTTCTCATTCAGAAAACAAAAGCCTGTTCATTTTTTTCCTCTTAATTTTATATTCATGTGACTTAGGTGAAAGGTGCCCAGGAGTAAATGCTTGTAATAATGTGAAGAATGAGAACAGCATCTGAGCAGGAGGCAGGATTCCCCTGTACAGCCTGGCTGAGAATCCTAACAATCACTGCAGAGGACCGTTCATGCACTGGAATGTTTTTAGGGAAATTATTTCAGTTTGATTTTGTTGTCATTTTGGATTTCCATTTCATGGGTCACCTAGATTTTATGATGATTCTGAAATTTGATTATTTTGGACTTTTTGTAAAAAGAACAGACCTGTTAATTAAGCACCATCTTGCTCTTCTATTGTCTCTATTTCACTGATGACCATACATACACACAGGTGGATAGACATATGTGTGTGTGTGTGAATGAGATCTGCCTTGCTATCACCAATTTAATATCAAGTCAGTCTTCATATAATAATTTGTCCAGTCCTCCCAGACTATCCTATCTGTTTACCTACTCCCAACTGCACAAACAATTTTTTTAGGAACTGTCTCATATTCTGCTTATTCAGAGCAGGGCTAGTCTGTAGATCTATGGCTTATTAGTTTCAATCACCATGTGATTGAAATGCAGTAGTCTAATATAGAGGCTTACAACATACAAGCTTAAGTACCAGCTGATAAACCACATTTAACACAAAGCAGTATTATAACAAAACAATGATAATTACAACAAAAATGCAGTATTAGTTCAATAAAGTTAGACTAGAGCATCAAGTAGCACATCTAAAAATAAGCATCGGATCTTTTTTCAGTTTGAAAATGCCTCTGTACATATTACCTGATTCACATGGTCCTTTGTGTTTCATGCTGATATTTCTTTTTGTAGCATAAGCCTTGTTGAATTGACAGATGTTCTCGTAGGTTTTCCCTTCAGGTCCGCAGATGCTCTCCTGAGACTTGCACACACACTGGGGTTCAGGGACTTCCCCAAATCTTGCTTCATCAGTATCCAACCTGCACTCAAGGTTGTCCCCACACTGCCCATAAAAATGATTGCCCTGGTCCAAGTCGCAGATCTGACCTTCCACATTTCCACATTCAGAACAGCAGCCACAACGGTCCAATACAGTTCCGGCTGGACAGTCTTTAGGCTCAGAGCAAAGTGCCAAATCGCATTTTCCACAGCTATCTCCTTCCCTTAACAGCCTCCACCAACCTCGGTGGTACAAGGCAGGGAAACTCTGAGAAACCTGCACCAGCACTACCAGCACTGCTGTAACCATCGGGTGCTTCATCTTGAGAATGTAACGAGCAAGCAGAAAAGGTCCTTGGAGTAAAGCTGGGAGGGGGGGGAAGAAACAAAAAGAGCTAGTGAGAGAAAAACATCACAATCCTTTTTTTGTTTTAGAATATAAATTCTACTGCAAACACAGGCTTTAAGAAGAAATTAGCATCAGATTCCTAATCTGGAACTGATAATAAAAATGCATACAAACCCACTGGCTTTTCTCTAATGCAGTTTGGAATGCGAGTATTGCTTGCACAGAAACCAAACTGCCCCTTCTGACAGCCGAGTTGAAGCTCTCTGAAAAGCTGTTTGCTCAGTGTCTCCTTGAGCCAAATTTGCAAAGCATTGCTCTACTGAAACAACATTATATTGCAGCTATTGTAGAAAAGGGAACAGGGTAAATTAGTGTAAAATGAAGAAATTAACTGCTTCCCCCCCTGCCATCAGTTGAAAAAGAAGTCACAAAAAAGATAAACATGGGTATGAAGTAGCATCCAAGATACCCGTACCCTAGAGCTGAGCCAGTGCTCTAGAGACTGGAGCAAGGTTTAACACAGAAATTCATCCGTTAATGATCATGGCTAGGGGGGTCTGAATTAACAATTTACTTACAGGCCCTTTACAAGCAAGGGGCAATCCAAGACAGCTGGAATTGACTTTAAACTCTTGGATTTAAGATGAGAGGTGCCTAGACCCATTAAAGAACCCCATGTTCCCTCTACATTTAGCTGCTTTTCAGTGTTTATGGGTGTCTGTGGTTTGCAACCCAAAATAACGTGGGCCATGTTTGGCTCTAAAAACAAAGTACAAAAGGTTTAGAACATAGACAAACATGAGCAAGCTGCCACAGCATCTTTAGATGCACCAGAAGGAGGTTTCGCTGAAGTATTAGATGCATCACTTGTCTTAGCACTTTTTCTGTCTTTGTTTCTTAAGATGTATTTGCACTGTGAGCTATGAAGGATGATGAAAGAGGTAACTCCGATTTCTTTTCCCACTTTTTCTGTGCATAAATTTCTGCCAGTTCAGGGAGATGGGTTTGTGGGGTCATTTCTCGCCAGGTATTGCGCTTTTCTTTGTGCATCTTGGGATTTAGGCATGGTCCCTATCATCCTACCTCATACCAGAAAACTCCTCTCCCTTGCAGTTTGAGAAGATTTCTTGTCTATAGACCGTAGGCTGTCACCACTGTTGAAACCACGTGCAGCTCAGCAGAGATGTGCCTTACTGTCTGTTGGAGGTAGAAGCGAAGCATCGTGGACTTACAGACCCTGCAAGCATGGGTCAAGGATCGCTAATCCCTACAAACGAAACATCTTTGTATGTTTGTTAGCTTAAAATAACTCTACATGCATTGTGGTTTCAAGACATATATATAAGACACTTAACAAGATGAAATAAAAGAGAAATCCTGCGTGTGCCAACCTGTTCTGAAATCATCCACAAGCACCTTTTTCTACTCTTTTTTTATAGCTGCCTACATAAGCTCAGCAAAGTATGCATTTTGTTCTACCAGCCTTACATCCTCTGGTCACGTCCACAAAGGCAGATCTTTTGGGGACGTGTGTTTACTTTCTGTCCCAAACATCTCCATGGCTTTTCGCAAGTTCAGCTTCATACCCTCTGCAACAACTGAGATCACTTCTCGCTTTGAGGGAAGTAGCAGGCTGCTTCAAAATCACATCCTTTTCCCAAACTGCATAAAATGCAATTTCCCTCTGGCCTGCATTGGTGGAGCACTTCTTAGAGCCAGCCTGGAGAGACCTACAGGGCACTGCTTGTTTCTGTGTGATTGCTGGGCTAATTCATATTCTGTAATGCATGTTTTTGCTTTGAACACAGAATCAGACTGTAAAGGAGTAAATTATGTGTGTAATTGATGCTTTTAACATTGAGAGGCAGAAAAAAAGTAACCACTGAATTTAATGGGAAATTGATTTCTTGTCCCACCTTCTTAATTCTGTTTAATGTGTTTTATTTCACACTTCCTCATCAAATTCTAATTGGACATTTAGTTTTGCATTATAGGGTCTACTCATCACTGTCTATTTGATTATTTGTGCCTACAACTGTAGGTGACGAGTATCTAGAGGACAAGACTTTGCTATGCTTGTATCAAGTAGAATGTTTATAGTGGTAAAACCATATGTGCAAAGTGGAGCCAAAGCCAGGAGGGGCTGCAGGCCAGCACTGCCCCTGTGAAGGCTGAGCTTTGCCCGTCGTCTTCCAGGAAACGTGATTTGAGGGCTGTAAAACAGAAGTATACGAGGAAGTACCTCCTGTGTCCTGGTACTGAGGAAACCCATCATAAATATTCTAGAAAGCATTTTTGGCATTTATCTGACTAATGTAATCGGTTTTCTTGGTAGGTTCAGCCTCTAAATTAAGACCAGGGTATGCCTGTGGTCTCCTTTGAACCTCTGCCCCTTGGCAGGTGATCTACAGCAGAAGGTTACTTGGCCACTGATTCCTGAGCTCACCTGGAACAAATTGGGGTGGGGAGAGGTTAAAGCACTGTGGTAGACATGGAGAAATGACCTGATAGCTGTCTAAAATATCTTTCATTTTGGGGCAGGGTCAGAGCAAGGGAGGTAAGAGTGGAGCAAGAAAAGAGAGTGGGATGGGCACATGGGTTTGAAGCAGCACATCTAAAGGCATAGTCCCATCTGGTTCAGTAATAAAATATGCATTATTTCAGTATGTTTGTAATCCCTGAAGCTTTCTTTGGTGGGATTGGCGGAAAAAAAGTGTTGATTTTCATCACAAACCTTGAATTACCCTAACCCTAAATATCTCCCAGAACAAAACACAAGCAGCAATGGCTTGATACTGCTTGCGGAGCTGCAAGACAGGCACCAAAGTACACTGCTTTTCAGACACCATCCCCCAAATGCTGCCTGGGGATCTGAGCAGCAGGGCAGAGGTTGCCACCCCTGTAACGAGGGGAGGAGGTAAGCAGCTGCAGTGCATGAGAGGAGCTTTCTACCATCAGCTGTGAAATAACATTTTGGTGAATAATTTCTTTAGCAGGCAGGTTGAACAGCATTAGTGCACCCTGGGTCTCAGCAGGCAGGATGGTGCTGGCCATGCAGCAATTTCTCTGGCTTTTTCTGGGTATTTCCATGTGGTGTGATCAGCACGAGGAATTCTGGTACCATCTCATGAGAGGGGCATTGCCCAAGATGGATGATAGGCAGTGGGGGGCCATGGCAAAATGGCCCAGCACTTCCTGTACTCTCGGACTGCATCTTCCACCAGGACATGGGCAACGTCTTGCAGAGTAATTCCCGTAAGTGAATTGTTAAGGAAATTGTATTCCTATTCATTTCCTGCCTCCTTCTTGGGGCCCAGTGCTATGCTAAGCTGCTGACTTGTATTGCATTATTCTACTTCGCATGGTAATACATAAGGTACATGGCTGATGCAATTTGAAGTCCTATTGCTAGTGATTCCTGAGGTACTGCTCTTTCAGACAAAATGTGGTTCAGCTCTTTATTCCGGTTTTATTTGTGAGTTCTACTTCAGTAAAGGTTTCTGAATCTGGCTCCTGCCAGACTTGCAGATCTGGTTCTTATACAGACATGCCCAGGAGCCCTGTGAGGAATAATGGCAAAACAGAAATAATTTTGAAGTGTCCCTTCTACTTTGTCCTGCAATGTTTCCTCTCCTCAAACAGGTGAAGTCAAGTTCAGAAACTAGTGCTCTTTTAGGTTATATTAAGTACCTAATCTTGAGGCTCCTTTAGAGAGAGTAAATCTTGGCTGACTCAATGTGTTTCCATCCAAGAAACTTTATACTTGTACTATGTGCACAAAAGAAGCATTAAAGAAAATTAATGTTTAGTCTGTTATAGTGGCTAATAGCAGACTACAGGTGGCTGTGCCTGTTGGGTGTATGCATTACCTGATACTGTACCAGTCTCCTATGATAAATCTCCCCCCTACCCAGTATCCCGAATTGAGCTTCAGTTGAGATGCTCAGCTCACCTGAAAACAGTATTTGGGTTTGTAGAAATAAGTGGCAAATGGTGGAGATTAATGACAGATGAGGCAAAAATAGTTGGATGCCATTTGTGGGTTCCTGACAGAACTTCTGACCGGCAGTGATAGAGGCACAGGCAGTCCTGGGATCCCCAAACATTTCCTTTCTTGGTGCCAATCCTATTTGCTGACACATTGTTTTCATGAATCTCATCATTAGTGCTGTAAGCACATGAAGTATAAGTTAATTCTACTGTAACATGATTATTAAATCCATTAATCAAAGACAGGAGATCCGTAATTAACTTATTCTCCAGCATCAAGTAAATGATTCTGCGGTGAGCTTTAAGAAAGCAATTGTTCACTAATATGCAAAATACAGTGGGGCTATTAGACTATAAAGCTGTGTAATTATATAATTAAATTATAAATTTTGCATATTTTCATAACATTTTAATTATTTTCTTTGTAAAGTTAAAATGGAGGATCATTATTTTTGCTTTTTTGTTGGTGTTTTGTTTTTGTTTTTTTAGCTTTTACATGTAGCTTACCAAAAAATGGTGGGAGTGTGTGGTGGTGGTAACGTCTGTCTGCTGTCTGAAAGTTGACTGTTTTCATATAAGGCTTGGGCTAGGGCTTTGGTGACTACCTTGGGCCTATCTCCAGCAGTGGCTGACTATAGATTTCTTCTGTTTCACATTTCAGTGTCATCGTTGCTGGTGACTGTAGGCATTCAAATTTTAACTTGCAAAAGACAATAGAAGGGTCTGCTAGCACTCATTCTAGCACCAAATGCTTGGGGTTTATTTAATACAGACTTACCGATTCCTTTTCACAAAAACAAGTCTGGAAATCCCTTTTCACAAGCTAGTATTTCCTTCCAAGGGACCAAATATTTCAAGGGTTCTTTTCAAGCCTGCTTCACGTCTCTGTTATCCTTTAAGTAGACCAAGTTTCTGGAAGCCTTGTAGTTTTAGCTGGAAACACCCAAGCCTCCTGTCCCATAACAGGAGGGTGATACTGGAAA